AGTGTTTTAAGGAAAAAATTGGGATACCCAAATTTATAATTAATAATAGTGGCAGACTCTAATTCAAATTGGCATTGGTGCTCCAGGGCTACAACCTTGAATTTGGGTTTCTTCTTCTTGAAATGGGCAAATGAATGAACTTTATCTAGCAGAAATTTAGTTAGGGTTCTTAAATTTCACTGTTTTGGTGTGTAGGAGATGAGATTGTCTCTAGAGATGGAGGGGCAGATGACAAATTGGATAACTGTAAACACACATTCAAGAAACTGCTTTTGTTCTCTGGAAATGATTATTTGGGTTTGAGCTCACACCCCACAATTAGGAAAGCTGCTGCAAAGGTTTGGTTCACATTTTATTTATTTATTTATTTCCACATAAACTTTGTACTTTTCTAATAACCTGGTAATATATTTCTTCAAATTTATTTTGATTCAGGCAGCTCAAGATCATGGAATGGGCCCTAGGGGTTCTGCTTTAATCTGTGGATATACCAACCACCATAGATTACTGGAATTGAGCTTGGCAACCTTAAAGAAGAAGGAGGTAGAAACTTTTCATTTGATGCTATGCTTTGAATTTGTAATGTTTCAACTTGTTTTTATTGAAAGAAGTACCATTTTTTAAGAGTTCAGTTCAAAGTGCCTAGACATGATTAAATACATTCTGTCCAGATCAGGTGCTGTGAATATTGAAATCAAAATGGAAAAAACCCTAATTTTAATCCTAGAACTTCATCATCATGCCAAATTATGCCTATTAACTTTTGATCATTGAACCATTAAATTATTCAGATTAGTCAACAATTAAGCACGCCCAGGCACTATTAGGTGTGCTTAATGGCACCTAAAGCAAATATCTTTTTCTTTTTTTAGCCTAATGAAATGAGTCATTTAATTTATTATAAAAATTATATTAAAAAAAATTAAATGCCAAGTAATTCCCCTAAAGTTAGGGCCTCAAACATGATAATGAATGGAAAAATGGTTAATTTTTCTGTTTATTTTGTAATTTTTAATTTTTTTTTAACATTTTTTTCTTATTTTCTTAGAGTTATATCAAAAAAAATTATAAAAAAAAAGGTCTAGGCAGCCTAGGCACTGCCTATACACTCTAAGCCCTAGGCTGTGGGCAACTGCCCACCATCGCCTAGTGCTTTCTGCAACCTTGTTAGTCAAATAAACCCAAAATTCATTATTTTAATAATTTAAAGGACTTCTGTATGACCTTGTATTCTTGATTGTTGCTTCCTATTAATAAATTGTAAACATTATTTAATCAAATTGGTAAAATAAAATGTACCAATATTTCTGGCCAATTTCCAGCAGAGCGCCAACTTCCAGTCCTCCCTTTTTTGTTCAGTGTTGCTGCTTCTGAGAGCACTGGCTGGTGCTCCTAAGAACAAGCACCAGATGTTGAAGCTCCAACCAAAGATTCACTATTTTTTTTTTCTTTAATTATAGTTTTTCAATTAGATAATGATTTAATTTAATGGCAATTTCATCAATTAATAATATAGGGGAAAAAGTTTATTTGAGTTTTAAACTGATAGCTTTTGGCTATTCTGAACTGTAAATCTGGAAACTGAATCCATTCTTGTTCTGTAGGATTGTCTTCTTTGTCCTACAGGGTTTTCAGCCAATATGGCCACAATGGTAACGCTTGGGAGCATTGCCTCTCTCTTGGCTGCTGGTGGCAAACCTTTGAATGATGAAAAAGTTGCCATTTTTTCTGATGCACTTAACCATGCATCTATAATTGATGGTATTCGTCTTGCTGAAAGGCAAAGAAGTGTAGAACTCTTTATATATAGACATTGTGACATGTCCCACCTGAATGCACTTCTGTAGGTTCTTCCCTTTTCACTTTAATTGTCTGCTACCTGAAGACCTGCTTTTTCTATTTGTTTTGTTTTTCATAATTAATGCTCACGCAATGCCTCCATATGCCTGTTTTGACAGATCAAGTTGCAAAATGAAGAAGAAGGTCGTTGTCACTGATAGGTTGTGGAACTGTCACTTTCAGTGCCTCTTTTTTTGTTCTTGTTGCTTCATTATGTTTGGAAGAACAACTACCTATTTTTAGAATTGCAATTCCTGTTTCCCTCCTCTGTGCTTGAGGCTGCCAAAAAATATTAAGAAATCTTGACTTTAAAAGCAGCAAGTCTTTTGCATTGCATAGGCTTACTGAGGATCTTAGATAATAAATGATGGGTTAGAATACCAATTTGATCCCTCAACTTTTAGATTTGTACCAAAATTGTCCCTCAACTTTGAAAAGTACTAAAATTGTCTCTAAACTTTAATTTATGGTACCAAAATAGTCTTCAAACTTTGAAGGTATTACCAACTTAGTCCTTGAACTTTGAAGACAAGTACCAACTTAGTCTTTGAACTTTGATTAGAAACACCAATTTAGTCTTTCAATTTTGATTATAGATCAATCTTATATGTAAATAGAAATATACAATGATGGCAAAATATAATTATTTGATTTTACATATCTTTAGTATTTTAAAAAAGAACTGATTTGTGGCAAAATTATATGGCATTTCTATTGACAAAAGGACTATTTTGGTACTAAAAGTTAAAGTTTAGGGACAATTTTGGTATTTGTTGAAGGTGAGGGACAATTTTGGTACAAATCTGAAAGTTGAGGGACCAAATGGTTATTTAAACCTAAATAATATTTCTGACTCTCAGCTTATATTGTACAACCCAGTGAAAATGGTATGGGTTGATTAAGCTATGCAGGCAGTATCACTTTAAAGAAAATGAGGAAAAATTTACAGAAAATGGAGTGGTGGTCTAGGGGATAGTGTTGTTAAAGGCAAAAAGCGTGGCGAAGCAATGGCCTAAAAAATGCGAAAGCGATGAAGCGAGAAGCAAAGCGATTACTTCTTTGAAGTGAAGCAAGTAACACTTTGAAGTGATCAATTATTAAACATAATAGAACTAATTAGAATAGAAACTTAAGAGCATTAAGAGTGGACAAGTAGAATAGGTTGCAATTATCAGGTTTAAATTAAATTCTACTTAGTGCAAGTAGAACTGAATTCTGTTTTGGAATTAGAATTCAGGAGTCTTGTAAAGTGAAAAATTGACTATTTCAATCTATACCATACAGATGATATTAAGTTTCTTAATCAATGTCTGCTAGACTAGATAGATCTGAATACTATAAGTTTACCGGCAAGAAATAGAATTGAAAGATAAAGGAGGGATAAAGAGGAAATGCATAGAATTAAGACAATACTAGAGAATTCTGTTAATATTTACATGAAATTTTATCTTAACTAAATTAAGATAGTCTGTTGATAGGGAAATAAAAGAAAAGAAAAGAAGAGAATATGTCATGAAGTTAGGGAAGAGGATGAAGTCAGGGAAGAAGAAGTGATGGGAAGGAGAATATGCAAATTAAAAAAAAAAAGTAGGAAACAAGAAAGGACTTTCCTGGCAGATGAATTGATGAAGTCAGGACTCAGGAAGATGATGAAGTCAAAAGACAATGGAATCACAAAGAAAATTAGGGGAAGAGGTGGTCAGCAGGCACAGAGCTTCCTGTTTTTGCTCTAATTGGAGTCAAAATTCCAATTTAAACCCTTAATGCTTTTATATTTTTTGTCATTTTGTGTCATTTTAAGGAAGCAATTGCTTCAACATTAGAGCACTTTTATCGCTTCACTTCACTTCAATTGCTTTGGGACTGCTTCTTTTAAGTAAAGCGCTTCAGAAATTTTGAAGCAGTGGTGCCTTTGATTGCTTCGCTTCATTGGTTTAAGCAGTGAAGCAACTGCTTTTGACAACACAGTAGGGGACTTGCCTGATGCTTGTTGATTTAAATTTAAGGGCAGTATAGGAATGAATATCTGACTTATACATTTTAAGGTTTTTGAATTAAATTCAAGTCTGAGTTGAATTTATGATCATTTTGAGTCCCGAATTATCAGTAACTGGACTTTGGCTTTCTGTAATTTCATTCATGCTGTTCTGAATGGTCTTTTAAGATATACTTGCATGTTTTGAACTGTTTATGGATATAACCATGACTTGCATGTTAGAATCCTGTGGATAAACTTGGCTTTTGGTAGGAGTATCTGTTTGTTTCATTTGTTATCTTTTACTTCTAATGTCTCTATCTCAACATTTTGTCACCCAATTCTTTTAATGCATCTGTTTAATAGGTTCTTTTTATGGGCTTCATTCCCTCATTTTACAGCTTGTTTAGCATGGATGGAGACTTCGCACCAATGATTGAACTTGCAGAGCTTCGCAAGAAGCATAACTTTTTGTTTGTTATTGACGATGTACGCTCTTTTGAACTTTTAGTAGTTTATATAATTGTAAGAGGCTGTTCAGTGTCTGTTTCATAGATGTGACACTCGTTGGGGATTGAATTTCACCTCTCAATACAAGCTTTTGTAGTCATAGAAGCAGTCAAACCTTGTGATATAGACTTGGGGGAAATGGTTTAGGTTTCAGACTGTGAACTTTATTTATGTTAATTTGACTCAATTTACTCCCATTTCACTATCCGATAGTTGAGCTTGGACATTAGACAAATATAACAGTGACTTCCTTTTCACATGCTTTGCAATTTTATGCCTCGAAAAGCTAAGTATTCAAGTGGTCTTCTCAGGCACATGGAACATTTATTTGTGGCAAGAATGGTGGAGGTGTGGCTGATGAATTCAATTGTGAAAGAGATGTTGACATATGCATTGGAACTCTGAGCAAGGCAGCTGGTTGTCATGGTGGATTCATAGCTTGCAGGTAATCTTGACTGCAGACTTCCCTCTTTGGAGTAGAAGAGGAAAAAGCTGTAGAAAGAAGTTCTTTGACAAACCACATGAAATGCAACCATTAAAATTAAATGCATTGCCTTTCATATTTCTAGTCACTCAGTCAAAGAGAACATCTCTGAGTAAGTTTATCTTATATAATGAATATAACACAATTACATTTAGTAATGGAGAAAATAAGGTAGCAAAACTGTGAATATTGAATACATTACTCTGGTAGGTATGAACAGGTCTCCTTTGGTCCCAAA